CCCATCTCCCATAATGACGCTAATGGACCAAAAGACAACAGTAGAAGCAAAAGAGCCTCCCCCAGCTTCTGCCCAGCCCACCGGCCTGACCTATTGCTGCTACTGCTGCTGCTGAGAATCCTGGTGCATGCTGGGAATCCAAGTGCATGCTGGGATTTCAGCCCGTTCCTCCATGCATTTTGGTTTTTCTTGGAACAGTTTCAAACTTGGAACTGTTGGTTTCTAGCCCATGGTGTACAACTCCCTGAAATGAAGTCAAGAACTTCGTGGGAAGAGAGACCTCCCTGAGGACTTGAGATTCTCAGGGCCTCTCATGGCACAAAACCAGCTAAGGTCTAGATAACATCAGTGTCACACTAATGAAGAGGATCCCGAAGAAAGTGCTTTCATCTTCTCAGAGGATTGACTTTAATGGTCTAGTCTGTTCTTAAGAAGTAAGAACTAAGTCCTGGAACGTATTTAGAAAGGTGCCTACGTGGAGACCACCCATCGACACATCAGGTCCTGAAGTTTGTATGAACATAGCTGTACACATCATGCTGACTTATAAGACAGTGGAATCTATTCATTCCAGAATTGTATGAATCCCCTGGGAAGAGGAGCTTCCAATACCTTTTGTCATGTTCTCAGAGGAAGGAACCCAGCAGGTGCCTTTGAAGAACGAATACGAAAAGAGTAGAAGGATCTTCTAGGTCTCTGGCTTCTCTGAAAGATACAGAAAGACTATATTAGGAGTTTCAGTTCTCATCTTGGCTAATGGATGAAAATTTGAGGCAAAGGCCAATGACTTATAAGTCCCACAAAGATGGATCACAAAGTACATCTTGGACCGGAAGAACAGAAGGAGAGAAGAGTCTTCTGGGGAACGAGGCTGATGGAGACCTGCCAGTATCCCAGGCTGGTGCTGGTGGGTGGCCACTTACTAAGTGCCTCGCCAGCTCCCAACACTGGTCTCCCACTGGCCAGGATGCAACCCTCCTAGAAATCGTGATTCACTGGAGATGTCCCTGTTCTGAGGCCTTTGGCTGAAAGAGAAGATTACATGAGGAGATATTAGACTGAATTTCTGTTCCATCCCCCCAAGATAACAAAGTTGCCTTCATCTTTATAAGATACTCTCGACTTTTATTTACTGAAGACAAAGAAGGTTCTGCAACCAAAAAAAAAAAAAAAAATCTCGTGGGAATATTCCACGCTGCCATTTTCTCATGAACCTGTGCCCTGCAAACCACTTCTAGCTTGTTTGCTCTAGTACTGCATGGCCTTGTCCTCTTTCCTTGGTTCAAAATGACAGAAGAAGTTAGGAAAAGAAAGAGCTCTTACTAAGCTTCCAGTATTTGAATTCCAGCGTCCTTGCTCACTGCCATGTTGAGAGCCAATTCAGACCCCAAGGCCGCTTGAAATATTCACAAGAGAAGACACCTGGGGGAACTCCAAGCTCACTCTCACAATAGGCCTTTGCCTTCAGAAGCCCCAGATCTCTTCACCCGCTGGGAAACCTGGCTCAGTGCCCCAAGCTTGCCAGTCAAGAATCACACACATGTGAAAAAACCCTTGTTGGATCTTTGGCTCAGTGCTCCAAGATGGTGGCAGCAGCAGCAGCAGCAACAGTTCTTAGGAAATCCAGGGCTGTGGAGAACTGCAGGGCTGGCCACCCATAAAGAAGCTGCAATGCAATTGAGAAGCTGGAGTTGCGGGCAGGAGTCCTAATGGTGGCCCTTGGTTTCTTGCAGACATTGACGAGTGCCTCTCAAGCCCTTGTCTGAATGGAGCCACCTGCGTGGACGCCATCGACTCTTTCACATGCTTATGCCTTCCCAGCTACCAAGGGGACGTGTGTGAGATTGGTACGGCCGTCTCGGCTTCAGCTAATGTTACTAACTGCTGCACCCACTCTGCCTCCCTCACCCTTCCCTGCTAACCACAGGTTCTAGGCCCTGGCTGGACCCCCCACCCAAGATCCATCCAGGCAGCCACTTCTGGGGTCACAACTGAGAAGTCAGCCTCCCTCACTCTCACTCCTTCTCTTGCTGTTCCCTGCGGAAACCCTCCTCTGGTTCACTGGCTGACCTGACCGCAGAAGAGCCAGGCAAGCCGGGCCAATCTGCGTTTTGGAAGGTGGGGCTCTGGGGGAAACTTTCAAATACTAACCTTCTCCAGGGCTGCCAGATGCCACCAGCAAAGTTGGTGCCTGCATCAGACTAAGAAGACAGAGCCGATTCCATGCATTTGTCTTGAAGGAAACTATGGGTGGGAGTCATTGGTCCTTGCTCTGGGTGATGGCCATGGATCCTCCCAACATGCCTATGGGCTTGTGTCTGCCTGCCTTATTGCCCACAGGACCTTAGTGGCCCCTCCATGGCCCGGGGAGCCACCGCACCACTCTGGCCAAGCTGACTTCTTCTCTGGCAAGAGCTTTGGTCGGCCTGTCTGAGAGCTCCCATGTCACCAGCATGCTCAGGTCACGCATGCACAGGGACTGCTCCATGTTACCTTGTCATCATTTCCACCATGACAGCTGCCATGTCAATGCCACTCCGGTCTGCACTTCCTTTCTCGCTTCCTTGTGCAAGGCAAAAGGCTGGCCAGGGAGAGCAGAGCCTCGTTGCGTGAAACAGGAGCTGAACTTCCTGTTCCTTCTTAAATAATTTTCGTGCTTTTTTTTTTGGCCACACCACGCGGCATGTGGAATCTTAGTTCCCGACCAGGGATCAAACCTGTGACCCCTTCACTGGATGAGCTTCCTCTTGCCAACCCCTCTGCTTCTGCATCTGGGCCAGGACCTGCCAAGGGGAGCTGTGGGCCAGGAACTTCCTGAGGCCAGACTATACCTGAAGCTCTTTCGTCTTTGGTGTTTCCTAGTCTCCTCATCCTCCTGGGTCTCAGGGCCACCCCATCTCAGAAAAGCTTGCTGTTGCTAGTAGCAGTGATCCATGCAGACCTGGAAGTGTTTAGGGGCCAAAGCCATTTACAATGAACCCTCAAGTGGTACATTCCAGAAGCTTTCAGACAGCAGCTGAAACTCCTAATCAGTGTGTGAAGATAGTTTTGGAAGGTTTCAGGCTGGTGGAGGAAATTCTGGACAAAAAGGCTTGGCCTGGACCCTCCTTCTCTGCAGCCTCTCATCCTCCACCTTCACCCCAAGGCTCCAAGAAGTTGGTGCAATGGGTCTTGCCTGGGGTGGGAGTGGAGAGTTACAAGGATTTTCTCCCCGTAATGCCAGAATATTTGCCACAGGGAGAAGAGTCTGGAATGTCCACGCGGACCACAGCTCTTGGGTGCCAGGCCTGGCAAGGAGGTGCCTGCACAGGGCTCTGCCTTCTGATGCAGCAAAGAGAGGGTGCTGCCAGAGCCCCGGAACTGGGCCCTGGGCCTGGGCACCTAGCTGAGCAGGGCTGCCTATCTTCTCCCATCTAGTCCTGAGCACTCACCACCCCCAGCGGATGCTTCCAACCTTCCTATAGCCCTGAGCCTTATTGTAGCCTTCCTGTTGCTTATTTCCTGTTGCCTCCTGTAGTCTGTTGCTTATTTCCTGAGAGCCTCCATTTTGCAGGACCCTGGCTTCTCCTGGCTCAGCTATTCCCTCCAGCTTTGCCAGCCCAGCTCAGCCCTCAGGCCCCAGTTGACCCCACAAGTCAGCCCTGGGATGATGTCTATGGCTTCCTCAGGTGCTCAGTTATCTCTGAAGCCTCTCTGCCTTTCTTTCCAAACCCTTTGGGGGAAGGTGTTGGCGGCAGGGGCACCAGCAACCTCCTCCTAAGCGCTTCCTGCTGCTCTGCCTCCCTCTTCAAAGACCGCTGGCCACGAACTCTTCTCTCTGTGTCTGTCTTCCAACCCTGCCAAGCAGTAGTGATCCTTACTTCCTAGAACTGCCCAACCAGAAGGCTGCCACACAGCCTGAGGGGTTCATGGCCCCACACTCAGCTCCAGGGCCCTAGGGACAGTCCTTCACCTGTGAGACACCAGGGGAAGAAAGAAGAGAGGGTCTTGGAATTCCTTCTGTCCAGTGCTGTGCTGGTAGAACAACTGACTCTCAAAGATGATGTGTAGCACCTGCCAGTTTCTGAGATTCAACATTCCCACGAGGGCCAGGGCAGCTACCAATGTCATACCACTAAAGGCCGAGTTGGGGGGCTTCCATAATGGTCCAGTGGTTAAGACTCCCTGCTTCTACTGCAGGGGACATGGGTTTGATCCCTGGTCAGGGAACTAAGATCCCGCATGCCTCATGGAGCGGCAATAGATAAACAAATAAAATAAAGGCCAAGTTGGGAAGACACACGCCAGCTCTAGCACACCCCTGCCTCTGTCTGTCCTTCTAGATGGTTCCAAGAGCTCCAACTCAGTGCTTTCTCCTGAACTCAGAACCTGTTATCAATATAGATTTAGGGGGAGAGAAGTCCCTCTTCTCATCCGCCACCAAGAAATAACATGAAGAACCAGGGTCTCTGGGTCATGGACCCCAAGCCAGTATTGTGTGCTCTGCTAGAGCCAACTCTGATCAAAAGACTGAGAGGTCCGTGTCTTCTTTGGACCAAAGCGGACTTGGTTCTCCTCCTCTGCCCCCACCCAAGCTTCCATTCCACGCCCCCAGCACTGCCTGCTCCTGCCACCTGCACACACTCCCCCGCTGCCCCCTCTCTCCCTGAAGCCCCTCAGAGTCTCCTTAAGTTGTCCTTAAGTCTCAATACCTCCTACCTTCCCCCCTCTTTTTACCTGGCCTGCTGAGTTCTGCCAGTCCTGCCAAGCAGGCATCAACAGGAGAAAAGCTTCGGGGATGGGAGGCGATATCAGAAAAAGAGAGGGTCCCTGGCATTTCCCAGAGGCCTCTCGGGGATGAGGGGCGGGACCAGGCCTCCTGGCTTCCCACTTGAGCCTCCATCCAGTGGGGCCTCTCCCTGCCTTTCGGGGTGTGACGCAGAAGGCAGGGTGAACACAGGAATCCACCACCCCTAGTCGGCCCCCCGGCCCTCTCCTCAAGCCCCTGCCCTGTATTGCAGACCAGAAGCTGTGTGAGGAGGGCTGGACCAAGTTCCAGGGCCACTGTTACCGCCACTTCCCCGACCGGGCAACCTGGGTGGACGCCGAGAGCCAGTGCCGGAAGCAGCAATCACACCTCAGCAGCATCGTCACCCCAGAGGAGCAGGAGTTTGTCAACAGTGAGTGCGGTGGGGCCTTAATGGCCCAAGAGGGGAATGGCCACGCAAGCCAAGGGCCTCCCTGGCCGGCAGTCAGTGGACTTGGGAGGGAGGGAAAGGGGTCATTTCCACAGGATGAGGGGCCAGCGGCTCTGACTGTACCCAGGACAGCCCACGGTCTGTCAGAGTCAGCCTCAGACTAACCCTGTCATCAGTCTACATCAGCTCAGGGAGGTGGGCCCAAGTGCAGCGCAAACATGCACATATCAAGAGCCTTTTCAGGACCCCAGAGGCAGGTGGCATCCTCCTAAGCACCCACCCAGCTCCTGCCACCCCTCCGTCCCCTCTGTCTCGATGATGAAGTTTCTCCCAGATACCTTCAGGTGCCCAATACCCACGTCCTTTCTCCAGACAATGCCCAGGACTACCAGTGGATCGGCCTGAATGACAAGACCATCGAAGGGGACTTCCGCTGGTCAGATGGACACTCCTTGGTGAGTTCTGCTGGGGGCACCCAGGATAGTTGGTGGCCCAGAGAAGATGAAGGAAGAACCCCAGAGACAGACACGTTCAAATCACATGCAAACATTCGTTGAGCAGGTGCTAGACCAGGAGTCCTGAAATCAGGATTGTGTCTTGTTCGTCTCACCTTTAGAGACTAGCCCAAGGCTGGACACCTGAATAATAACATGAAGGGAAGGGTGGGGATGAGGAAGGCAATGAATGAATGAGGGCAAATCACCAAAAGGGTATGTATGCATGCATGCCTACATGCTCAGTCGCTTCAATTGTCTCTGACTCCTTGTGGCCCTATGGACTGTAGTCTGCCAGACTCCTCTGTCCATGGGATTCTCTAGGCAAGAATGCTGGAATGGATTGCCATACTCTCCTCTAGGAGGTCTTCCCAACCAGGAATCGAACCCATGTCTCCTGCATTGGCAGGCAGATTCTTTACCCACTGAGCCACCTGAGAAGTCCCCAAGAGGAAGGTTTAGAGAGGTTTCTTGCCGACAGAGCACTAGAGTCCACACAAGGAGGTAGACAGATAGAAAGCAACACAGATGCCAGTTGAATAGTATACATAGTAAATAATGAAGATCAGCAAAGGACCTCAGGGAAGACTTCCTAGAAGAGGCAAATGTGAATAGGGTCATGGCTCTGTTATGGTCATGGGGAAGAGGAGCAGCTACATCAGAGGAAAGGGGCCTCGTTTGTCTGCAGTCAGGCTAGAGGGAGAAGCCTGGAAAGGCAGAGTCTGAACATGGGAACAGTAGCTCTACCACCCAGTCCTGCCCAAGCCTGGCAGCCTGGTGACCATCCCCGCTGGCCCATATGGATGAGGAGATTGGCATCCGCTCATTAACAGGGACTGTGAACCCGGGGTCTTCTGAGTTCCTGACAATAACCATAGCCTGGCGGTGTGATCAAGTTCTTTGGAGGGCCCGTGAGTCCCATGGCACCAACAGACTCCCGGCAGTCTTTGCACCATGGCCAGGAAGGGGCTGGACAGGGAGTAAAAGCAGGGGTTAGGCAGGCTGTCCCACTCCTGCCCTCTGCTCACCCCTTCCCCAATCCCACCCACAGCAATTTGAGAACTGGCGCCCCAACCAGCCTGACAACTTCTTTGCCACTGGGGAGGACTGCGTGGTGATGATCTGGCATGAGAAGGGCGAGTGGAACGATGTCCCATGCAATTACCAGCTGCCCTTCACCTGTAAAAAGGGCACAGGTAAGTGGCAGCATGGGAGGGGTCCCACGAGGACAGACTCAAGACCCCAGGTTCCCTCGGTGTGACCTGGGCCACATCACCCAGACTTCTGGCTGCTGGCATCACTCACCTGCCCAACTAGCAGATTGGAGCTGACCTGGGGGGCAGGGGCCTTGCCCCATGCCAGCATCCCAGAACCAAGGGAAAGGCTGACCCACTAGGGACAGGGAGAGGATGAAAGTCACAGGCTAGAGGACAGAGCCCCCTGCACACACAGTACCCTGGGTATCAGCACAGAAAGTCACCCACAGTTGCACATGAGTTGGCAGCCTCCCTCTCTAGGATCCCAAGTTCATCAGTCACAAGAGTTGGAGTTGTCAGGCCTTGATCCTTGGCTTTGAGTCTGCAGACTTGGAGGTGTGGCTAGGACACTCACCAGCTGTTCCTGCTCCTGGCCTCGTGCCCCTCCCCCCACCCCCCAGCCTCCTGTGGTTTCTCCTTCCCCTGCACCGCCATTTTCTTTCTTTTTTTTTTTAGGTGCTATCTTTTTTTTTTTTTTCATTTATTTTTATTAGTTGGAGGCTAATTACTTTACAATATTGTAGTGGGTTTTGCCATACATTGACATGAATCGGCCATGAATTTACATGTGTTCCCCATCCCAATCCCCCCTCCCACCTCCCTCTCCACCCCATCCCTCTGGGTCTTCCCAGTGCACCAGCCCCGAGCACTTGTCTCATGCATCCAACCTGGGCTGGTGATCTGTTTCACCCTAGATAATATACATATTTCGATGCTGTTCTTTCTAAACATCCCACCCTCACCTTCTCCCACAGAGTCCAGAAGTCTGTTCTGTACATCTGTGTCTCTTTTTCTGTTTTGCATATAGGGTTATCGTTACCATCTTTCTAAATTCCATATATTTGTGTTAGTGTACTGTAATGGTCTTTATCTTTCTGGCTTACTTCACTCTGTATAATGGACTCCAGTTTCATCCATCTCATTAGAACTGATTCAAATGAATTCTTTTTAATGGCTGAGTAATATTCCATGGTGTATATATACCACAGTTTCCTTATCCATTCATCTGCTGATGAATATACAATGGAAAAAAAACAACCTCTTTAACAAGTGGTGCTGGGAAAACTGGTCAACCACTTGTAAAAGAATGAAACTAGAACACTTTCTAACACCATACACAAAAATAAACTCAAAATGCATTAAAGATCTAAATGTAAGACCAGAAACTGTAAAACTCCTAGAGGAGAACATAAGCCAAACACTCTGACATAAATCACAGCAGGATCCTCTATGACCCACCTCCCAGAATATTGGAAATAAAAGCAAAAATAAACAACTGGGACCTAATTAAACTTAAAAGCTTTTGCACAACAAAGGAAACTATAAGCAAGGTGAAAAGACAGCCCACAGATTGGGAGAAAGTAATAGCAAATGAAGCAACAGACAAAGGATTAATCTCAAAAATATACAAGCAACTCCCGCAGCTCAATTCCAGAAAAATAAATGACCCAATCAAAAAATGGGCCAAAGAACTAAACAGACATTTCTCCAAAGAAGACATACAGATGGCTAACAAACACATGAAAAGATGCTCAACATCACTCATTATCAGAGAAATGCAAATCAAAACCACAATGAGGTACCATTACATGCCAGTCAGGATGGCTGCTATCCAAAAGTCTTCAAGTGATAAATGCTGGAGAGGGTGTGGAGAAAAGGGAACCCTCTTACATTGTTGGTGGGAATGCAAACTAGTACAGCAGCTATGGAGAACAGTGTGGAGATTTCTTAAAAAACTGGAAATAGAACTGCCATATGACCCAGCAATCCCACTCCTGGGCATACACACTGAGGAAACCAGATCTGAAATAGACACATGCACCCCAATGTTCATCGCAGCACTGTTTATAATAGCCAGGACATGGAAGCAACCTAGATGTCCATCTGCACTGCCGTTTTCATAGCCCGTTATCACAGCGAAGTCATAGCCAGTCTGCCTGGCCCTCACTCTCTTTCCCAACCCTTCATCCTTTTATTCCCTTCCTGATGCTCTAAATCATTGAGGAGCCCAGATGTCAGAACCAGTGGCTTCCAGATTCTCAGTGCAGAGTGAAACTGCCCCCCCACCCCACCGGCGGGGCTCATGGCTGGGTGTCAAGGCTGCCCGCCCCTTCCTTTGACTCTGATCTGGCTCCCCACAGCCAGGGGGACCACACCAGCTCATCACAGGGCATCAGGGGAGACCCTCTGAGAGCCCTTTCTGAAGGATGTTTACTCCTCAGTGGCCTGCGGAGAGCCCCCCGTGGTGGAGCACGCCAGAATCTTCGGACAGAAGAAGGACCGGTACGAGATCAATGCCCTGGTGCGGTACCAGTGCACCGAGGGCTTCATCCAGCGCCACGTGCCCACCATCCGGTGCCAGCCCAGCGGGCACTGGGAGGAGCCTCGGATCACCTGCACGGACCGTGAGCATCACCCCGCACAGCGTTAGATCCGGCCAACGCATCCTCCTCCCTATCCCCCACTGCCAACACCATTGAGGGCTCTGTCACAGATGTCCCCTGCCCCCCGGGAGGTTCACTTTCACTGAGAGGGGGAAGGTGAAGGCGAGTGCCCTACTGGCCTTTTCAACACCCGCCCAAAGCCCCCCATTATCAGTCGCTCAGTCGTATCCGACTCTTTGTGACCCCATGGACTGTAGCCCACCAGGCTCCTCTGTCCATAGGATTTTCCAGGCAAGAATACTGGAGTGGGTTGCCATTTCCTACTCCAGTATTCTAGCCTGAAGCCCTTTAGCCCAAGGTGGTTCCAAGAAAAATCAAAACCAAGAAGCAGCTAAAACCTCAGGCTGCCTTCATGAGCCCATGGTGTTTACAGGAGGGGATCGGCGGAGAAGGATTGGGGGAGGCTGGGCTGGCCTGCTTTCTTCCCAGGGTTCACCCAGATTTTTCCATTTCCCTTGCACCCCAGCTGCCACCTACAAGCGCAAACTACAGAAGCGGAGCTCACAGCCCCTGAGGAGGAGCCGCCCCAGCACGGCCCACTGAGAGGAGCTTCCCAGACGTGCCCAGGACGCTGAGCCCAGAAGCCTGGCCAGGCTGACACCCCATCCGGATGGTGTCCTCTCCTTGTCGCTTTCTGTCATATAAGGAATTCCATTAAAGAAGAAAAAAAAATAAACCCCACATTGTGTATGCACCCGCCCACCCCCCCCCAAATCGCCAAATCTGCATCTAATTTTCCCCCCAAATGCCAAAGCAAAGCAAACATATGGTAACCCGTGGACTGGAGTTTAGAGACGTTCCTTCCATCTCCCGCTGTGCCTTTCCAGGGACCAGCACAGGACAGGGGGAGAAGGGAAGGGGTTAAGTTAAATAAAGAAGATTATTTTTTGTTTCCTGACTTTATCCAAGAGCAGTGCAATCGTTGGTTCTTTCACCTCCAGGGAGAGCTAGGGAGGAGGGAGGAGGGGCAGAGAGACCCGAGGGCTGAAGAACTCTGGAACCGCAGCTGAATGTATTGGATAAGATGGAGTTCATCTGTGTCGGGGAGAAGCCCAGGGGAGAGGGGGCGGCTTCCAACCCACTGGGAGAGCGAGCCATCAAGGGATCTTCGAAGCATGGGGGTCGGGTTCCCTCCAAGGGTCCCTCCTCCAGAGTCCTCTCACCTGGGTCTGCCACCCCAGCAGGTGTCCATCTCGGCAGGGCTGGGTCGGGGGGCACTTCCTTCCTGGTGGGAGTGTCACCCACCCCTCCCCCCACCTTTCCCCACCCCCGGGACCGTGCAGGCACCAGGGTTCCGTGCACCTATTTATATTTTTGAAAAGTAAAGATTATGATAATTATAATAATAAAGACATTGGAAGAGATCTATTTCTTTTCTTTTCCCTTCTTTTTTCTTAATTTAAAGAGAAGGCAATCATGGTCCAGGGTTTACTGAGAAGTTTCTTAGGAATGGGGGCTGTAGGGACACATTTTGATCAAATGACTCTAAATTTGTGCGAATCCTGTTTGATCGGAAGGCCTGGGACAGTCACGCCTGTGGTGCTCTATTCTTACATGAGCTCCTCTCTGTGTATGTGTGTGTGCATGTGTGTGTGTGTGCATGTGTGTGTGTGTGTGTGTGTGTGACAGCCAAGAGGTGCAGTATATGGATCTGTGAGTTGGCACACTGTCAGAAAGTAACTCAAGTCAGACTTCTGGCCACTCTCCATAGTTTGGTCCTTTGATTTACACTGTTTGCTCACACAAGAGGAGTCGATTTATAGAGTGAGTCCAAGAACAGAGGCAAAATCAAAATTTATAAGAGGGAAGAAAAAAACTGCAGACAGGCTGGGAATGGTGAATCTTGTTATACATTTTTGGGGTCAAATGGGTTAGCTAGCCACTAGCACAAAGGTCTGGGCATCCTGCCCGTAAATAGGCTGTAGGTTATCAATGAAAACACTTTCAATTGTTTATGGATTTCCTCCAACAGACCTTGAGTGGAGCTGGGGTGTGTGTGCCAGACAGTTACCATCTGCCAGCCTCCTCCCTGGAAGGTCAGGTTAGTGCCACTCCCTCATCACACTTGCTCAATGGGCACTGATTGTGTGTGTAAGTGTCTGATGTTGATTGTAGACGGTAGAGTCACCCTGCAATGCAGGAGGCCCAGGTTCGATGCCTGGGCTGGGAAGATCCCCTGGAGAAGGGAATGGCAACCCACCCCAGTATTCTTGCCTGGAGAATTCCATGGACAGGAGCCTGGTGGGCTACGGTCCATGGGGTCACAAAGAGTCAGACACAACTGAGAGACTAACACTCGTGTTGGTTAGCATGTGCCAGTATGAGTCTGCTGATGTCTCTTCAGGTGTGTACTTGTGTGGTTGAGTGTTTGCTGGTGAGCATTTTTGTGTGCCCAGGTTACCTACAGCTCTGGAAAGGATCCGTGGACAAAAGTAGAAGATGCAGCAATGTTCACAGAGTAGGAACTCAAAAATTATGCCATTTATTGATTAAGTAACTGATTCATTGGGAACACACCTATGTCACTGGTTTTCAACATTGAGTCTGCATCAAGAGGGCTTGTGAGAGACCCCACTCCAGAGTTTTCGACTCAGTGGGTCTGGGGTCAGGTGCAGAAAGGTGCATCTCAAACACATTCCCAGGTGAAGCTGGTGGTGCCGGCCACACTTGGAGAAGCACCTTGCTATGTAAAGGATCGACTGTGGGTGGCAGAGGTGTGCCTGTGCAGAGGCAAGAGAGCTGGTTTCTTAAGGCTGACATGGGGGTGGGGACCAGAGTGAGGAACACAGAGGGCTGGTCCCCAGTATCTCTGCAGGGCACAGCCTCCTCTGGCCTCCCACTCTTACGCTGGGTCCTCACAGACAAACAGCCCGGAGTGGGACGGTGGGAGAACACGCCGGGGCCTCCAGCTGCTAGGTCAGTCCCCGAGGCAGGGTACACCCAGGGCAGGTCAGGCCAGACCACGGCAGCCTGAAGGTGCAGCCCATGGCGTTCCCTGCCCACCCCAGTGGACAGACCCAGACGACCTCACGTCTAGGACAGAACCGTCCCCCATGCAGGGAGCTGGACCCTAAGACTGAATGAGATAAAGATGAGACACACGGACTTCCCTGGTGGAGACTCTGCACTCCCAATGCAGGGAGTAAGGGTTCGATCCCTGGCCAGGGAACTAGATCCCACACGCTGCAACTAAAGGTTTGCCTGCTGCAATGCAGATCGAAAATCCCGCATGTCACAACTAAGACCTGGGGCAGCCAAATAAGTAAAGAAGCAAATATTAAAAAAAAAAGAGCAAGACACGGAGGAAGGCTCAGGATGGAGGGAGGGGTCACAGCACCATTTATTGTCCAAAATAGTACACAGACCCGAGGGCCACTCACCAAACAGGGGAAAATGAGAACAAAACACGGACTCTTTGGAGCCAAGAGAGAAGGAAAATATGGGGAGGGAACTCTCTTCCTTCCCTGGGACGTCACATGGAAGCCCAGGGACCCGCTTCCTGCCCAGGCTCCTCTGTCGTGCTGACGCGGGCCAGCTGCTCCCCAAAGAAGTACGAGGGGCAGGAGACAACCAGGCCCGAACCCCAGCTCCAGAGCCCCCCGGCTGCCCTCTCATCCCCAGGCAGAGGCAGAGGACAGGTCGCAGCCCTGGCTCCTCTGGGAGCCCCTGCTACTGCTGGCTCTGAGAGCAGCCTCCCCAGGGCCAGGAGAGGGGATGGACTCAGCGATGGCAGAGAGCTCTCATGAGCCCAAGGACCTCAAACATCCCGGAGGAGCCAGGCAGGAGGATTCAGGGAGGGTGAGAGCCTTTGGGTGTCCACCTGAGTAAAGGGATGATTTGGGATCTGTGGGATTTACCCAAAAAATAATATTTAAAAAAATTTTAAGTTGGAAAGTATAAAACCAAGATGAAAATTGCCCCAACCTGCAAGGGAATATGAACTACTCAATAAATACAGCCCGCAAGGGGAGGGGGCAGGGGCGGGAACAGAGCTGAGACCCTGGCGCTAGCGCGGCCGGTAGCAATAGACACCATACTTGCGGCTGTGTGGGTCTGGGAAGCCAAAGCTTCGGACCCCAGGCTCCAGGGTCCCACAGTTGGAACGTGGGTGAGCCACAGGGTAGCGGGCACTGCCATCTGCCAGCCAGCCAGCATCGCAGCGGTCCAGGCCACGGAACTTCCAGGCGGCATAGAGCTGGCCCACCTTCGCGATCTGAGCGCCGTCTTCCCGGCAGGCCTCCCTTGCCTCTGTCAGCGTCAGCTTCTCAGGGTGCTCCAGGTAGTACACCTGCCCTGTGGGATGTGGGGCGTGAGGATAGAGAAGTGGAGGGTGCAGCCAGAGAGGGCCTGGGGCAAGGCCAGCCCATGCAGACCCCACCACCCAGCCCCCAAAGACCTGTTAACTTTCTGTGCTTAGGGAGCTGCCACGCTATGGAGCATCTGCAGTGGAGACTGTCAGGGGCACCTTCCCAAATCTCAGCCCCTCTCCAAAAGCATCATCCCACATGCCATGGGGCTGGGTTCCCCACAGTCAGATCTGTACTCTGCCCCAGCCTTTCCTAATTTTACTCTAGGAGGGCACCCCACCTCTGCTGGACCAATAAAGAGTCTCTCCTCTGCTCAGCCATTTACTGAGCACCTACTATGTCCCAAGCTGGGATATGGCACTGAACCAATTTGTTTTTATTCATGTATCTTCCCTTGAAGTGAGCTCCTTTGTGAGGGCAGACTGTGTTTTCTGTGTCTATGATGACCCAGCACCTAGTAGGCACTCAGGGAATGTTGGGTGAATGGCTAAACTGATGATCGGTGTGAAGCAGCAGCATCAAGGCACTCAGTTGGACAGGGCTTCAGCTGGAAGCACCAACATGGTGGGCCGAGAGGACTGAAGGCCCCCCCAGACGCTGCCCTCCCACCCGCAGGCCCATGCGTGGCCAGTCGACTCACCCCTGAGGGCAACAGCGAAGCAGAAGACGTCGTAGCGGTGCAGGCGGCGGTGGCGCGGGCCGTAGCTGCGCACACCGGGGGCCAGGCCCAGGCCTCCACAGGGGTGCCGGGCCTGCGTGATGGGGTACTGCACTGAGGCGTCCTGCAGCCAGCCTGCGTTGCACCAGTCCAGGCCCTCCTCCCAGGCCCGGAACAGCTGCTCGAAGGAGGCCACCACCGCGTCCTGCTCCTCACAGGCCTGCTGGGCTTCATGGAAGTTGAACTTGTAGCGCCCTTGGGGGTGCTGGTAAGGAAAGACCACACCTGGGGAGGGCGGAAAAGGGGGCTTGAATGGGTGGGCAGGGCCTGGTGATGGGAGACCCACCTCCACTGAGACAGAGGCTTCCCTCAACACACGCACACACAGTCCCTCAGTAAAGCTCTGCAAACCTGTCATCTCCTGTCCACTGTCCAAGTCCAACGCAGAGCCAATATCTGCTTTATATCTCCCTCCCAGAGCTAGACAGGCACATAGCAACTCTCAGAAATCTACTAACTTGTTAAAGAATGAATGAGTCAGTCAAATAATATCCCCAATTACAGAACAGGATTAATCCCTAATCCACAGGGCTGTTCCAAGAACCCCAGTGGTATGCCTGCCGAGTCACTCGGTTGACTCTTTGTGACCCCACGGGCTGCAGCCTGCTGGGCTCCTGCCTATTCTTCCAGGCAAGAATCCTGGAGTGAGCTGCCATTTCCATCTCTAGGGGATCTTCTCGATCCAGGGATTGAACCTTCGTCCCCTACGTCTCCTACATTGCAGGAGGATTCTTTACCACTGAGCCACTGAGGAAGCCCATGGTCTCAATTCAGATGTTTAAATCCTAATGCCCAGGAATTCCCCCTGGCGGTCCAGTGGTTAGCAAATGGTGCTTTCACTGCCAGGGCTCAGGATCGATCCCTGGTCAGGGGACTAAGACCCTGCAAGTCTCACAGCGTAGCTAAATAAATAAATCCTAATGCCCAATATGATGGTATTAGGAGATGGCGCCTTTGGGAGGTGATTAGGTCATGAGGGTGGAGTCTTAGTTTTAGTACCCTTTAAAAAGACATGCCAGAGAGCTCCCCCCAAGCTTCTTCCACCGTTGTGAGGATACAGAAGTCTGCGACCTGGCACCCTGGTCTGGGACTTCCAGCCTCTAGAACTATGTGAAATGAATTGCTGTTGTTCAGAGGTCCCCAAGGCTGTGTGGGTTACTGCATCCTGAAGTAAGACACCAGTGAGGAGGTGCTGCCACCTACAGGAGACAGGCGTTGTTGGGCTCTGACTCAGCAGCTGAGACCTCATCGTCTATGTTAACATTAATATGGAAGCTTCAGAGGAGGACGCAAGAAACGTCCCCCATGTGACAGACGACTTTCTGGGGACAAGGAAAGAAGACAGTGAAAGTGTCAGTGACTCAGTCATGTCTGACTGTGACCCTGTGGATGGTAGCCTGCCAGGGTCCTCTGTCCATGGGATTCTCCAGGCAAGAATACAGGAGTGGGGTTGCCATTTCCTTCTCCAGGGGATCTTCCCCACCCAGGAATCAAACCGGGGTCTCCAGCACTGCAGGCAAATTCTTCACCGTCTGAGGTGCCAGGGAAGCCCCAGGGGAAGGGGAGGGATGGAAAAAGGTCTTTTACTAAAGGAGGCTAGAGGTCAGGGAGGTCCTGAGCAGGTGGCTTCCCTTCCTGGTGCCACAGTCTGGGAGGTGCCACAGGCTCCCTCAAAATTCCATGTTTGAAACTGGACTGTAATAAGAAATGTTAACTCCCCTGGACCCAGTCTCTACTAAGTCAGATGAAACCTTAAGGAGAAGGGGTGTCCCTGGGGCCTGGGGCCGGCGCTGTTCCAAGGCAGGGCCTGGACTGAGGGTTCCCTGGATTGGGACTGACACAAACACATTGTGTGATATACACGCTACTAAGCATAAAACAGAAAACTAGTGAGACCCTGCTATAGAGCATGGGGAACTCGACTCAGGGCTCTGCGGTGACCTAAAGGGGAAGGAAATCTAAAACAGAGAGGATGCATGAATACGTACGGCTGACTCCTTCTTCTGTGCAGCAAAAAAACAGCGCTACACTGTAAAGACACTATACTCCAATAAAAATTAATAACAAGGAAATAAAAGTGTACCCCCAAAAAAGGGAGGACTCCCTGCTTCTCTAGGCTGCCCCCGTGGCCCCCAGACAACCGGCTCTGACCGGCCCGCACACATCCCACACCATCCCCAACATCAGGGACAAGGAACATGGCCCCTCTGGGCCACCATCTAAGCCCCGTGGACTGGGCATGTGGCTGCTGGTGGCAAGGTCCACCTCTGACTGACAAGCCCTTGAGCCACATTCTATCCTCATCTCCTCGAAGGAGGTGAAGGAGGAACTACCCTTGTTCTTCATTTCACACGTGATGGGACTGGAGCTCTGGGGGAAGGCACTGACCTGGAGTGCCACAGCTAGGACGGGGCGGACATGGAGTCAGATCAGCCTTCCCTCTATACCCTCCCGGCAGCCTCCCTAACAGGCAGGAGAAGTCTGAGGACACACAGCCCCAGCCTAGGGTCAGAGAAGGCAGAAGTCATGTGGAGACCACAGCTGGCAGCTTTGGACAGCACTGGTTGTTTTTTGTTTTTTTTAGTTAGGTGATTTCTACATAAAAATCCAGAGGTTTCACATATGAATATAAGCTTCTCTTATCAAATCAGAAAATCTGGCTGCAGGGACTTTCCTGGTGGTCCAGTGGTAAAGAATCTGCCTTGCAATGCAGGAAACGTGGGTTCGATCCCTGGTTGGGGAACTAAGATCCCACATTACTTGGTGCAACTAAGCCCAACCGTTCTAGAGCCCGTGCACCACGACAGAGACCCCTTGCATTGCAACTAAGACCCAACACAGTCAAATAAGTAAATATTTGAAAGAAAGAAAGAAAGAAAACTGGGCTGCACTGGGCTTGCTTCTGGTGTAGCATCATCAGCTGGGCCTGAGTAGGAGGGCTCAGAAGTGGCCCCCGTCCCCACTACTCCTGATCACCCACCCTGGGCTGCCTCATTTGTGTCTCCTGCCAGCCCTGTGTGAATCTCAGCTCTGACTCAATGAGCTGTGTCACCAGCTCCTATCTCCCTCTCTCTGAATAGGATGTGAGCAAGAGGGAGTAGAGAGCAGAGGATTCTGGAGTCTGACTGCCTGGGGTCAAACCCCTACTCAGCCATGTATGAGCTGTGTGACCTTAGGTAAGTGACTTGACCTCTCTGTGCCTCAGTTTTCTCATCCATAAGTTGCAGGTGAGAATAACAGGAGCTTCCTCATGGGGTTGTTCTGAGGATTAAATGGTTTATCTGCCAGAAGCACAGAGGTCTAGATGCTTTCTCAGGCCTTCTCCCCACAGCCCCCAGGACCCAGCCACGGTCAGGGTCTCACCCCGAAGCTCCAACTCTACCAGGCCGCTCTCATCCTCCAGCCCATCGATGACCTCACAGCGGTAGCGCCCATAGTCCTCCAGCCGCAGGTCCCGGATCTCTAGCGACACTTCCCGCGCTCTGTCCTGCCGCAGGTACACCCGGCCTCGGTAGTCCCCAAAGGTGCGCTGTCTCAGCCCAATGGCCACCAGCACGTCCTGCTCCGGGACCCCATTCTCCGACAGCTTCCACCATTTGATGCGCACGGGCCGCGGAGAGGCCAGGGCCGGCTCGTAGTGGTAGCGGCAGGGCAGGGTCACGTTGGCACCTCGGTGGGAGAACAGGGTCTCCTCCGGCGTCTCTACCACCAGCTTCACTCCACTGAAGATGCCTGAGGGGAGAGGTGGGGTGCAGATGGGGACCTCCGGCGGCACACCGGTAGTTCCGCAGGGGCCACCCCCTCCCTCACCCTCACCCCCAGCTCCCGCCAGGCTCAGGAGTTCTAGATTGCACCGCCCCTACCCACACACTCTGCAACGTGACTGCACAACTCCTTCCTTCAGGAGGTGACTCTATGAACCACCCCCAGTCCCTGAAACCCTTGCTGGCCCTGCCACTTGCTTTGACCAAATGAACGCGGGGGAAGTGAGTGTTCTGAGGTGCTTGTTCGGAGCGGAGGCTCCAGGGGCCCTGTTGAGGCCTCTCTTTCTCTAGGAATCTTGCCAACCACCATTGGAACAGGGCCTGGGCTCCCCTGTAGGGTGAGAACACGCAGAGAGCAGAGACAAGCTCTCCCAGCTGAGGCCATCCTAGACCCACCAGCCCCCAGCTGACCTGCCCACCCACCACAGGCACAATCAATTAAGTGAGCACAGCCAAGGCAGGAAAGACGGAGTCCAGCCCAAAACGCTGGCCCATGAAACCATGAGCAAAGTACATGGCTGTTGTCTTAAACCACTAGGTTTGTTAGGCAGAAGATGCGAGCTGGTAGACTTCCCTGATGGTCCATGGGTGGCAGATAGAAGTTGCTTGTGTAGCACAGGGAGGCTATCTCTGGTGCTCTGTCAGGACCTGGAGGGATGGGATGTGGAGAGGGGAGGGAGGCTAGAGACAGAGGGGATGTGTGTATAATGATGGCTGATTTGCATTGTATAGCAGAAACCAATACAACACTGTAAAAATGTTTTGTTGTTATTGAGTCACTCGGTCATGTCCAACTCTTCATGACCCCATGAACAGCAGCACACCAGACTTCCCTGTCCTTCAGTTTTTAAATATCTTTTAATTTTTTAAATGGGGGGAATAAAGAATCCACACTTTCAATGCGGTAGCAGTGGGGGGAGGAGGGTTTGATCCCTGGTCGGGGAACTAAGATGCCACGTGGTTCAGCTAAAAAAAAAAAAGAAAGAAAAGCAAAAGGCAAATTGGTGTAGCTGGCAGCAAGAGCACCTCAGAAGGCGGGGGTGGGGGGACTCAGATCATCTGGGTCTCCTTCTCTAACACACCGGCCCCAGGAGAGCACAGCCTGCCCTTCACTCTGGCCAGCTGTCCACCACGACTCTTCCCAAACACCTAGAGACACAGGTGAGACCAGGCCAGGACTCACAGAGGAGACTGCAGTCAGGCTCTGGGGGACAAATAAACACCGGGCCTAACATGCACCACAAGAACCAGATTTATGGCTAAGGCTGGCTCATCTCTCACTGGAGTCTTCCTATCGGGGCCTCATGGTCTCACGGCCTTAGGTCTGGACTTCAGACCTTAGAGGTACACAGGCTGAGGGCAGGGGGTAACCTCAGGAGTAAACAAGGGATAGACAGGGAGGCTCCCTGTAGAGAATCTCATGCTGAAAAACAGCCATACCTAACGACTCCTTGCCTATGTCCGAGTTTCTATGAGGCTCATGTGACCTAACAAATGATGCATAGTAGGTGCGTAAAGCTGCTGATAAAAAGTCACCTGGCTTTTCCAGTAACTGACCTGAAGTGACCTCTAAAAATGGTTTGCTATTCACTTGACCCAGAAAACTGCACAAAATCAAGAGATTCAAATTTTCATGTTCACTTTAAGAACACTGCTTCCCTGGTGGCTCAGCTGGTAAAGAAGATTCTTGGGTCGGGAAGATCCCCTGGAGAAGGGATAGGCTACCCATCCAGTATTCTTGGGCTTCCCTTGTGGCTCAGCTGGTAAATAATCTGCCTGCAATGCGGGAGACCTGGGTTCGATCCTTGGGTTGGGAAGATCCCCTGGAAAAGGAAAAGGCTACCCACTGCAGTATTCTGACCTGGAGAATTCCATGGACTGTATAGTCCATGGGGTCGCAAAAGTTGGTCAGACACGACTAAGCGACTTTCACTTTCTTTGGAGAACACTCATGAAACCACCCAGGCCATGAAGGGTATGCATATCCAGAAAGCCACCAAGTATCTGAAAGATGTCACTTTAAAGATATTGTGTGCCATTCTGTCATTACAATGGTGTTGATAGGTGTTCCCAGGCCAGTGGGGCTGGATGCAGGGTTAGTGGCCCAACAAGGGTGCTGAATTTTTATTGCACATGCTCAGAAATGCAGAGAGTGATTCCAGACTTCAGAGCTTAGATGTAGATTCTCTGGTCATGGAGCACGTCCAGGTGAAAAAGCCCCTAAAGATGCGGGACAGGACTTACAGAGCTCAGGGTTGGATCAACCCATACCTAAGCTCCCCTGCCACATGTAGATGATCCTTATTGAAAAGGGTCAGATTATTCCTAAACCAGAAGAGAAGGCTGCACAGGAGAAAAAGATATCCCAAAAGAAACCAAAAAAAACAATAATTTATGGCCCTGGGACTTCCCTGGTGGTTCATGGCTAAGACTTCATGCTCCCAATGCAGGGGGCCTGGGTTCGATCCCTGGTCAGGGAACTAGATCCCACATGCCTTAACTAAAGATCCCAAAGTATCACAACTAAGACCCAGCACAGCCAAATAAAAATAAATATTAAAAAAGAAACTTACTGCCTGGGGAAGAAATGCTGCAAAAAAATAAATGCAAATAAAAGTTTAAAAAAAAAAAGTCACCTGCCCAAAGCCACATAGGTAGTAAGTGGCAAAATGGAGAGTCAAACCTATCTCCCTATATCCAAACCCCTTTTCCACTGGGAAGACCTGGGGAAGTCACGTTTAAGCGGAATTTTGAAAAATTGGCAGGACTTTGGGGAAAGTATAAAAAGCAAAATTGACCATGCTACAGTGCATTCAGCTCCACACCCATGGGTTGTTGTTGGTTTACTCGTTCAGTCGTGTCTGACTCTTGCAACCCCATGGGCTGTAGCCTACCAGGTTCTTTTTTCCATGGGATTCTAAAGGCAAGAATGCTGGAGTGGGTTGCCATTTCCTCCTCCAGGGGATCTTCCCAACCCAGGGATCAAACCCGGGTCTCTTGCATTGCGGACGCATTCTTTACTAACGGAGCCACCAGGGAAGCCCTCCATATCTGAGGGGCCAGTAGACATGGAGTAACATTCTCACCCTTCTGCTCATCTTAGCGACAAGGCTGGACCACTGCACAGGCCCAGACGGGAGCAGGGCTGCTGGCTTCACGCCCTGAGCCCCCACCCAACTCAGAACTCGCAGGGGCCAGGAGAGGCCTTCGTCACCTAGCCAAACCAAGAGCCAAGCTAAGAGCAGAGCCAAGAGGCCACCCACCTTCGCTGTAGCCATTGGCCAGGTTCCGGCCGTTGGGACGGTTGGAGTAGTAGAAGCCGTTGTAGAAAGGCAGGCCGGAGACACAGCACAGCAGGAGCAGCAGGATCGGGAGCCGCAGGCCCATGGCGTCACGCACCGGGCAGCGCCAGGGTGTCCAGGCAAGGCTGGGGCCCGGGGCAAACTGGGAGGAGGAGAAAAACAAGCCAGTGAGAGAAGTCTGCAGCGGGGCCCAGGGACCCACTTACTCATTCGTTCAATCAACAGGAATTTAGCAGCTTCCCTTGTGGTTCAGTGGTAAAGAATCTGCCTCCCAAGCAGGAGGCGAGGGTTCGATCCCTGGGTCGGGAAGATCCCCTGGAGTATGTATATGTGTGTGTGTGTGTGTGTGTGTGGCTCAGATGCTAAAGAATCTGCCTGCAATGCAGAAAACCGGGGTTCAGTCCCTGGGTTGGGAAGATCCCTTGGAGAAGGGAATGGCTACCCACTCCAGTATTCTTGCCTGGAGAATTCCATGGACAGAGGAGCCTGGCAGGCTGCAGTCCATGGGGTCACAGAGTTGGTCATGTGACCTGTTGTTTCAAGGAAGACAATTTTTCCATGGGCTGGGGCAGGGTGAAGGTAGGGGTGGTGACGGTTTCAGAATGATTCAAGCACATTATGTTTATTGTGCACTTTATTTCTATTATTATTACACCAGCCCCATCTCCGATGACCAGGCATTAGATCCTGGAGGCTGGGGACCCCTGTGATAGAGCAGCTTTGGCATGCCAGGCACCGTTCTCATGGCTGGACAACACCGGTGATGAGCAAGATGAGGTCCCTGCTCTCAGAGGACTGCACCCTGCAGGCAAGATGGGCAACAGGCAAGCCAACAAATCCTAAGCAGGAATTTACTGTTGTCGTTTTTTAGTCCCTAAGTCATGTCAGACTCTTTTGTGGCCCCATGTACTGCAGGCTCCTTTCTCCATGGGATTCTCCAGGCAAGAATACTGGAGTTGATTGCCATGCCCTCCTCCAGGGGATCTTCCTGGATCAGGGATCAAACCCGTGTCTTCTGCATTGGCAGGCAAATTCTTTACCACTGAGCCACCAGGGAAGCCCAAGCAGGAATTAGGAGGCAGTGAAAAGACTGAAGAAAAAATTAAGAAGGACCATATGACAGTATCACCATTTTTCAAACTGCAAGGTTGAACTGGAAAAGTTGTGAGCAGCATTTTAAAATGACATTGAAGAGACCAGACTAGTAGAAAATATCAGGGGCATTCATGGTCAGTGAGGATGAATCCTGCACTGCAAAGCTTTTGTTTCAGTCCAGAAACGACTATGGAGGTAGAGGTTAAAAAAAAAAAATTCTTTTTTATGCTATGCTAGAATACTTCTGGGGGGCACTTACAGTTTAAGTGGACACTCAAATAAAATAGGCAGCTGGCCCAAGGGCTACAGATTGTTGATTCAATTTTTTTGTATTGCATCAAAATATTATGTCTTGATTATTGAGATTTTGCTATGCACACACCCCTCCCTTAAATTTTCACATGAGGGGACTTCTCTGGTGGTCCAGTGGTTAAGACTTTACCTTCCAATGTTGGGGATATGGGTTTGATCCCTAGTCGGGAAGCTGGGATCCCACATGTCTGGTAGTCAAGAAAACCAAGACATAAAATAGAAGTAATGTTGTAACAAGTTCAGTAGAGACTTTAAAAATGGTCCACATTGAAAAAAAAAATTTGCACAGGAGCCTAGTGCCCCACATACCTCCCCCTCATTCCTGCCCTGCTTGTCCATTTACTGAAAGTGCCGTGTGTGTGCTCAGTTACTTCAATTGGGTCCAAATCTTTGCAACCCCATGGACCGTAGTCTGTCAGGTTCCTCTATCCATGGGATTCCCCAGACAAGAATATTGGAGTGGGTTGCCATTTCCTTCTCCAAGGGATCTTCCCAACCCAGGGATCGAACCCACCATCTCCCGTGGCTCCTGCAATGGCAGGTAGTTTCTTTACCACTGAGCCATCATTAGAGAGTCTTTATTGGAAACATCCAGGATGAATTCTGCTTCCTTCCAAGGCTCTGGCTGAAACATGGGAGAGGAGGACAGAAGGAACAGTGTCTAGATGCCCTTGGGTGTCAGACTCAGCAGCCTGTCCTTTGTTCCCAAGGCCCTGGGGTGCTAGTAGTGGCTTTACACAGAGGAGCCACAGGATCAGACCTACATGTTAAAAACATCCCTCCAGTGGCTGAGTGGAAATCGGACTCTGGGGCAGCAAGGCCAGAGTTGACAGCAGGCATTTGGAAATATAAGTACGATCATCAGGCAGCAACGTGGAAAGTGCACAAGGTATAATTTAGGGTAGACAAAGCAGAACACAGACTTGCCACTCTGCTGTGATTGTAATGTGACCCTAAGAATGCCTGTGTACAGAAACCAGAAGGGGAGGAATACAGCAAAACCAGAGAAAGGGAGAGCAAGCAAGGGGAAGAAAGAAAAGCATTGGCCTCTAAGGGTGGTGGAATTGTGGAGGAAACATTCTTGTTTTCAGAACAGTTAGGAGCTTTTACTGGAGAAGAAGCAATGCTGTGAAGGAAGTTGAAGGGTAGAATCCACTGTGCCCTTAGACCTCTTTGCAGGGAGCCCAAGGCCCAGACTTGCCCTGTGTGCTGTGCATGACAGGAGGACACTGTGAGCCTCACTTCTTATCTAAGAGGAATCCCCAGGTGACATCCACAAAGCCTCTTGGTGACTTGGATCTAAGCAGCCTAAGCACAAACAGGAGTTTCCCAGGTGGCTCAGTGGTAAAGAATTCATCTGCCAATGCAGGAGATGCCAGAGACACAGGTGCAATCCCTGGGTCTAGAGGGTCTAGAAAATCACCCAGAGGAGGGCATGGCAACCCACTCCAGTATTCTTGCCTGGGAAATCCCCGTGGACAGAGGAGCCTGGTGGGCTACAGTCCATAGGGTTGCAAAAGAGTCAGACAGGACTGAACAATTCAACAGCTCAAAACACATGCAACTTTGTAACCAGAGCACTATATGCAACTTTGTAACCAAAGCACTAACAGAAACAAGAGCAATCCAGAAAAAAGAAAACAAAAACCAAAAAAACCAGCATGTCAATCCAGGCCTTGCAGCTTTCACCCACCACTGGGGCAAACACTTCTTCCTTCAGGATGTGGGTTCTTAGGGGCACTGGATTCCAAAAGATACTAGGTTTACCAAAATTAAAAGTCTGACCCAGGGTAAAGTCATCTTAAATGTTTTGTTTTGTTTTTTAACACAGGAAATGTCTTTGCAACTTCTTCAGCTGTTGTTGCCCACTTTTTTTTTGGCTGTGCTGGGTCTCTTTCCATTGGGCAGGCTTTTCTCTAGCTGCCGCACACAGGAGCTTCTCTAGTTGCAGCGGGTGGGCTTACTAGTAGTGATGCACAGGCTTCTCTAGTTGCGGGTTTCTCTAGTGGCTGCTCGCAGGCTTAGCTGCCCTGAGGTAGTGCATGTGCAGCTCTTTGTGACCCCATGGACTGCAGGTTCCTCTGTCCATGGGATTCCCCAGGCAAGAATACTAAAGTGGGTTGACATTTCCTTCTCCAGGGGATCTTCTGGACCCAAGGGTCAACCCGGGTAACTGGCATTGCAGGCAGATTCTTTACCATCTGAGCAGTATTCTGGCCAGGAGAATTTCACCGCCCTGAGGTATGTGGGATGTAATTCCCCAACGAGGGATCGAACCTGCATCCTCTGCATTGGCAGGTGGATTCCTAACCACTGGATCACCGGGGAAGTCCCTGGTTTCTACTTTTATCAGAAAACTTTATGCTAAGTTCTGTTCAGTGGCTAAACCAGCAGTACAGTGCTCCTGCCTCACCACATCTCTCGCATCCTTCAGATGAGATGGCAAGAGTTTGGATACTAAGAGTTTGGGGAATCTGGACAGGGAAGGATGCTGTCTGTTCGGTTCTTGAGTGCTGGACAGTGAGTAGCAAGCATTCGAATAGTGAGGGACATCAGTAAGAAAGGCACTTTCTGCAGGACTGACAGCACTTATCTTAAGGAATTCACACACTGCTGAGGTTTGCTCTTTAATAGTGAAGAAATCTTGTTTTGGTCACTTTAATAATTAGTGGGGGGAGGGGGGGTGGAAATCACAACCAGACCAAAGCCATTCCATGTCATACCGACGTTTCCCCCCCAGGGTTCTTACCAGCCGTGCACGAGGTAATTCACGGTTCAGAAACTAAGCCCTGAGCCAAAACAGCTCTTAGTTTCCGGTCTGGGGGTGATTTTTTTTTTTTTCCCCAGCTCACTAAAGTATTGGAGTGACCAAAACAAGATGTGTGGATTTCCTGATTCCTGACGACCCATTCTTTGCTTTTCCCAGCCACCACGTGCCTTAGGACCCCTCCGCACATCAGAAGCTGAACCTTGACTTGGTAGGAAGACATACAGCCGAGTACCCCACTGCACCACCGGGCAGAACATGTCTCCCTGCCACCAGCAGAGGGCAGGCTTGCCCTCCAGGTTTCCATCATTCCGCTGCCGGAGAGGAATTTGACTTCGGTGCCACAAGCCCTTTGAAACCTGCGGTTCCCGGAAAGTAGAAGTCCGGAGGTGTTTCCTACCAGCATTCCCAGCCCGCTGGCCTGTGCAGGGCTGTGGGAAAGCGGCCAGGGCGCCTCTCGGCCATCTCCTCTTGCGGCAGAAGGCAAAAGGCCCTCCAGAGGTCAGCGCTGGGAGTCAAGGTCCAGACTGGGTCATAGGCTGGTGAAGGCCACCCAGCGAGTTGATGACAGAGCTCGGTCGGTCCAAGTGTCCGGCGCTGTCGTTTCCCCACCCCCACCCCCCAACCTGGCTGCTCAGGAGCTCTAAACTCCTCCCTAAAGGATCCCATCTCCCACCCAGGAATTTACTCTCCGCGCGCTCCGGGTGTTCCCTAAGTTAGAAACCCCACTGAACCCAGGCCTGAAACCCACGAGCATCCACTGCGTTTGCCCTGAGAGGGCCAGGGCAGGCCGGCAGAGGACCACCCGCCCGCTGCCTCGGGAGGTGTCCCCAGCCCCTCGCAGCGTTCCCGACCCCCGACCCCGCTCCCGCCCCGAGCAGATGAGCACCCAAAAGATGCCCCGAGGCAAGCCCGGCGCCTGGGGCGCAGTGCTGGAGGCTGCGGGATAAGATGCGAAGAGACCCGGTGGGAGAGAGGAGACCCGGGAGTTGGTCTCGGAGGCCACTGGTTTCCCTCAGAATTGGCTCCTCGCCGACCAGGGTCTATGCACAAGGGTCCCACGCAAGCCAGCCCACGCCACGCGCTGCTCTGAACACGCGGGCGCCCG